AGTGACTGAGATGTCTGTAGACCTCCCTTGCCTCTGTTTCCTGCATGGATGAAGGGGATGAAAACTCCCAAGCCAAGGGACTGGTTCCTTATAATCCCGCAAGCCCGCCACATGGTGGATATGTACACTGTGGCTGTACAAAGCTTCTCTGCTGGAAGCCCAGTCCCAGATACTAAAGGGGGGCAGCAGGGATGGGAGGATGCCAGCAGGGCCCTGCGCTCACCTGTTCAGGTTGCGGAAGCGTGACTCGAAGTTCTGTGAACGGCAGACGACACCCTTGTCCCGGTCCTTAAGTTGGATCCCATAAAAGCCCAGCATGAGCTCATAGGCCCGGACAAGACGATCTTTGACCTCCTTGGAGCTTTTAAATGCCTAGAAAACAACCCCCTGGGAGTTCAGGTGACCCTCACTGGTCACTGCTCCCAAGGACCGTAGGGTGGGGCCGCTGGATACCAGGTAGGCCAGTGCCTCCAAGGATGAGGTGACGTCAGCACACCTCTAGGAAAGCTGTCACCTCTACCAACCCGAGTCACCTGGCACAGGCATTCCTTGCTGGCCCTATCCAGGGCCTCCCGACCCTTCTTTCTACTACTCAGCCTCTACGGGATGGCCCCTTTCTCTGACGTCCCCAACGGGTGGCATCATTCCTATCAGGCAGACTTCTATATGCCACAGGGGCACCTTTGTCAGTGACCTCTCTGCAGGCAGGGGTAGCTCTCCTAACGTTCCAGCTGGGCCCAGGGAGGGAACTTACCTCAACCTCCTTGAGTGTGAGGGGCTTGGCGTGCCAGTTCACTCCTGCTTCCCTCAGAGGAAACAGCCTGTGAGGACGGTGAGCAGACAGGTACTTTAGTATCAGGCAGCAACTCCTTGTCCTGAATTCAGTGCCTCCCTCTTACCCCTGGGGGGCGCTGGCTGGCATCTCTCTTATCCTGGGTAAGGATGCCAGTCAGCAGAGAGCAGTTAAGGTGGCCACTTGGAGCCTCAGCCTTAGTGGTCATAGGCTGTGGAGTGTAAAGTCAAAATGGGCAAGACCAGTGTCACCTCTGGGAGCAGCGCTTTCTTTCCTATGCCTTCCTACTTTGTTCTTTCTCATCCTCAGTCCTGTAGAATTACTGCCACAATGTTACTGGGAGCAGTCATGCGAGCTATTCTCAAGTAAGGGGTGTGTACTTGCCAGGAAATGGCATCGCTTCTGAGGCTGCTGTGCAGCAGCTCACTCGAGCCCTGCTGAAACCAAGGCAGGTGGCTCCAGCTGCCCCTCTAGATAGTCAGGCCTGCCCACTGCGCACAACGCCCCCAGAGCCCAACAACAGGGACACTAACTAGGATGCCGGCAATACCTGTCACATACATATAGGCTCATGGAAGGAAGGAGTGCTTCATACACACCTAAGCCTAGACCCCGCAGGACAGCTCCCACCCAGGAGACCAGGCCCTCCCTCTCCCCAGGTTCCACCCACCACTGGATGTAGGAGTGATTCTCTTCAAGGAGCTCATAGTTGTCTTTCCAGTTCTGAAGAATTTCCTCAATGAAAGAACCTGTAAGTCCCATGGGGGAAAAGTCAGCTACAGAGGCCTCTGTGACATAGCTCAGGGGACAGAGTTATGTCAAAAACCACTGCCTACCCTCAATTGCTTTAGGGTTCACAGGACTCGGCAGAGCTACCCATAGCTCATCAAATACAAAATGTGCTAGTTTTAGGTAACTAGGCCTACTTCTGTACGTGAGGGATGCACTACTTCCTCTCTGGGGTGGGCATGCATGTATGTGTGTGTGTATGTGTACATGTATGTATATGTATGTATACGTGTATATATGTGTGTGTAGGTATATGTGCACGTGTATATATATGTGTGTACATGTGTGTATGCATGCATGCATGTATGTATGTATGCATGCGTGTGTGTGTGTGTGTATTTACTGTCAGCTAGGAAGCTCTAGCTAGGAAGCTAGGAAGAAATCCCCTAGAAACCGAGCCTGGAACATGGTCTAGGGAAGTTGTCTTCGAAGGCCAGACAGCAAACACCTCAGCTATGTAGCTGCATGGCCCTTTCCATGCTACAGCGAAAGAGTAACTGTGTAAATGGATGGGTGTGAGCAGTTTATGTCACAAAACAGATATGGTGCCTCAGGTCTATAATTTCAGCACTTGGGAGGCTGAGGTGGGAAAATCTTGAGTTTGAGACCAGCCTAGGATACACAGACCATTTTAAAACTTCAAAAGCTTACTCTCTGGCCCCTCAACCTAAGCTTCAATCCCCTTGGCAGCTTCAAGGGGGTACTGCAGAGACATTTGAAAGCCAAAATTGGCTGGGCAGTGATGGCGACAGTCTTTAATCCCAACACTCAGGAGGCAGAGGCAGCCAGATCTCTGCGAGTTCGAGGCCAGCCTGGTCTATAAGAGCTAGTTTCCAGGACAGGCTCCAAAGCTACAGAGAAACCCTATTTTGAAAAATTCAAAAAAAAAAAAAGCCAAAATTGGACTGAGGACAACAGGCAGCCTAACAGATTGGACAGCTGGCCAAGGGCAGAAGGGCTGGGGCTGGAGCCGAAGCTGAGTGAGGAGGTACCGTTTGGCTGGAAGCAGATCTCATTCTTGTAGAAACTCAGGTTGGACATGTCGCCATTACCGTCTTGATCTGCCAAATCCTGAAGAGCCAGAGAAAGGATGGGTGAGGATTTATGAGAAACAAGCTGTCTCTGAGGGCCCCTCTAACTCATGCAGACCCCAAAGGTCAGCTTGGGGTCTTCTGTGAGCAGGGGTAGGTTTGGAGGACAGCACTACCTTCAGCCCCCTACTCTCCTTCTGTACCTCAAAAATACTCCAGGGTTTGCCAGTACTCATGGGTACAGAGAAGAGACTGAGGTGATCCCTGGACCAGCCAGGGAGCCCGTGTGAGCACTGAGTCACACGTTCTGTCAGAACACGGTCCCTCATTTTAAAGCTGCTCTTCGAGGCTCAGGAAAGACAACATGCTCTATCATCCATGACTAGGAGAAGGGCACAGATCTGAAGTGACAATGAAGAACACACCCCAAAACCCAAAGCTGGAGTTTCAGCAGTCCAGGGGTTACTCTACTTGGGAAGAGTGTCTCAAAGTAGGGGCCACGTGTACCTACCGGATAGTGGTGTCGGTACCTTCGCATGTCCTGTATAGCTCGCCAGTTTCGGTACCCTGTCATCTTGGGCTGGAGAGAGAATAAAAGGAATAAGTTACCTGAAAAGTGTCCAGGATGAAGGCAGCAGGGCTCTAGGCAAGAGGAATGGGTATTTCTGGTTTTCCTTCTGGTCTCCACCCACCTGTGTCAGGGGTTCTGAGAAGGTCGATCCAGACACTAGAGAAACACACCTCCATGTCAACCCAGAGGAACTGGAGTAGCCTCAACTACCATTGCTGCCTCTCTCAGGACTCCCCTTTTCTCCTTAGGGTGCTGTGGCCCAGGCTAGCCTGCATACTTCCAGGTGTGTATGACTGGTGCTTTTCTGTCCCCAGGCCCCAGCTGCATGCTCTCTCTGGTCTGCTGGCCAACCTCGTTTGGGTCTATGTCCTATGTGTGTCCTCCCTTCCCTGAGTACTATAGAATTTCCCCCCACATTATGCTATGAATGGTTACTGGGCTATATCCCTAAGGGCAGCCACTTTGCTGCCTGTTTCTGCTGAGAAAACCCAGATGCCTCTGGATGGGTCTGATGGATAGGGATGAATGAGGCCCCTTCCCTGCAAACCCCTGCTCCTCCCTGGCTTAATGCGATGGAAGACACTATGCCTCCAAGCCTAGGACTGGCTTTTTCTGTTTTGTTTTGTTAGGTTTTGTTGGTTGGTTTTTGGAGACAGGGTTTCTCTGTGTAACAGTCCTAGCTATCCTGGAACTACCTCTTGTAGACCAGGCTGGCCTTGAACTCACAGAGATCCACACGCCTCTGCCTTCCCAATTGCTGCTGGGATTAAAGGCGTTCACCACCACTGCCCTGCGGGCCTGGCTTTTAGTGACTACTCCTTCAGGTATGATCCAAGTGCTCTCGTTGGGAAACAATTGCTATCTGGGGAAACAATTACTATCAGGGCCTTTGGACTTTATCCAGCCTCAGCTTCGTTCCACTGTAGTCAGGCAGAGAGGCCTGAGCTGGCCTGCCTGGAAGGCCAACCTGAAAGCCTGCCTCTCCAGATTCTGGGCTACCTTCCCCAAAATAGCAGACACCCAGAGATTGTAGCAGTGGAGAGAATGGTCATAGTCCTTACTCTCATTTTCTAGGCTTACCACCAAACCTAAAACCACAGTTATTTATAACCAGGGAAGCGCATCTTACAGAATGACACTGCAACACTTATTTGCTGGTTGCTACAAAAGTATACCCGGAGACAAGCTCTTGATGGCAACAAAAGTTACCACAGCTAGTGGCAGACAGGTAGTCCCCTGCCCCAGGTCTCCTAGGCCGAGGTCGCTTCCGAGCCGATGGAATCCGTCTGCAGTCGGGGGCCGAACGTGGGAGGCGGGGGAGGAAGGACAACCAGAGGAAAGGCCACCCACACAGGACGGGAACCTGGGGCGCTCTCTGACGTCACCCACGCACGACCCCCCCCCCCATCAGTCGCTGTCTTGACGTCACCGGTGCTCGGTCCGACAGAGCCTGGGCCCGGCGCCCCCTCGGGACAGCGGCCAGGGCCAGGGCCAGGCGCTGCGGGCCTGGTGTCGCCCTCCCGCCCTCTTGCACCTGGAACACGCCTGGCCGTGTCTCCTCCGCGTCGCCGTCCTCGTCGCCCGTGTCCGCATCGCCCGTATCATCCGCCTGGCCGTCCTCGCCATCCTCCTCGCTCTCGTCCTCCCAGGTGGAATCGCAGTCCGGGTCGTCCATGCTGGAGAGGCAGGACCCGCTTTCCGCGGAAAGGAAAGTGAAAGAGGAGGAAGCGCGGAGGCGGGGCGGCGCCAGGTCCCGCCCACCGCTCAGTTTCCGCCGTTACGCGGGGTACCCAGCCACCCTGGGAGCTGGGCGCGAAGCGGTGCCCGTGAGACAGCAGCCCCTGGAGGTTGTGCACCGGGATCCCTGCCCCCCCACCGTCTACCGGAGGACTCAGGACCGCCCCCTCCAGGGAGGAGGATGGAGGGAGGCTTCTCCCCAGCCCTGCGGGTAGTGAGGGCTGCTGGGTGCTGGTCTCTAATCTTGGTTGAGCTGTCTAACTGCAGTGTTCCCTGTCTGGATTCTGTGTCCATACTAGCTCACTCAGTACGTATTTGTGTGTAGCTGTTTGGATGCACATAGACATCAGAGATCGGTGTTGAGAATAGCTCCTCAATAACGTTGTCCACCCTATTGTTTTGAGACAGGGGCTTTTTCACTTGGAGCTCACAGATTCCGTGAGGCTTACTATCCAGCAAATTCCTGGGATCCTACTGTCTCTGCCTCCCCAGCACTGGAATTACAGGTATAAATCACTCAGTATTCTGTATTGTTTTCTGTGCAGAACCCACTCCTGGTTCCCTTCTCCACCACCTCTGAGCCAGACTGGGAGAGGTAAGACCACACCTACCTGAAGGATCCATACTGAATTCTCTCCAGAGCAGAGAAGAAAGAAAATGCCTCCCTATACTTTACAGAATAGGTATCCTTGTGGTCCCGTGTGCCCTCAACAAAGGATACCATCGATGGTGGAGGTGGTCAGCCTCAGCACCAATGTGGCTTTTCAGTTATTAAGTCTGAACTTTTGTTTTACAGCTATTGCACTCTTGTATCTGTACTTGGCACCCTTGCCTCCTTTGCACTCTGGTTTCCTTCTCAGCTCTTGTTGGTAGCTTATTCCTGGTTAGGGGTGCACAGATCCCAGCCTAGGCTGGGGAAGGGTAAGCATGTCCTAGCAGAACTCCAGGTTATACTGCCAGGCTGTGACATACTTCATGCCAGCAGCATGACCTAGCTCTCTCTCTCTCTGTCTCTCTCTGTCTCTCTCTGTCTGTGTCTCTCTCTGTCTCTCTCTGTCTCTGTCTCTCTCTCTCTCTCTCTCTCTCTCTCTCTCTGTGTGTGTGTTTCAAAACAAGGTTTCTCTGTGTAACAGCTCTGGCTGTTCTGGAACTCACTTTGTAAATTAGACTGGCCTCAACTCAAACTCACCGAGATCACCTGCCTCTGCCTCCTGAATGCTGGGATTAAAGGCATGTGTCACCACTGCCCAGCTACCTAGATCTCTCTTAAGGGACACAGGGACTCAGGAGGGCAGCAGGTTTGAGACAATGTGTCCAGAATGGGTTATTGGGTGAAGTCTTCTGCTGGAACAAACTGAAAATGACTCAGGACAAATGTCTTGACCTGACCCTCCTGCTGCTCTCGTGACCCTAGATTGTTCTCAGGTGGTTTTAGAAGAATGAACCTGACTGGAGAGAAGACTGCCTTCTTGATCATAACCCATTGCTCCTCAAGGGGCACTGTCTGCTCCCCATTTTTCCTGCTAGTGGTGGATCACTAGCAAGGCTTTTCCCACCAAATAAGACTCCGTGGTGAACACTGAGCGTGGAGTGGCCTTAAGCCAGTTCCCAAAATATGCTGTAACACTGCTTTCCTTGTCTCTTGCACTGGGACATATATGTCACCGCTCCAGGTCTGAGCAGTCTACAGTGTCAGGGCCTCATCTCAGTAGGCTCCTCTTCCGCCCCATTCCAGGAGGCAAAAAACTGTTATGACCTTGTCCAGGCCCTACAGGAGAGAGGACAGGACAGGAGACTGGATGAACTCATCTGTATCCACTCAAGATGCTTTCTGCGCCAGGGAGGGACTAGGTATATTCATGGTGACCCACCTGTCCTGACTAGGAGTGGCAGTGGGCTGGTGCAGGCCAGCTTGGGGGCCCAACACTGGGACCCTGCAGTCACTGGCAGTCGTTGAGATGGTCTGGTCAGTACAGTGCTCATCCTGCCCAACAGCTGGAACAGGCAGCAGCCGGGCAGGCAGTGGTGGGGGCTGGGGCTAGGGGTGGGTGCCCCACTAGTCTGTGATGCCGGGAAGTTGTCTAACTGCATTCTACAGCTATGACTCCTGTGGTGGGGAGTCCTTTACTCTGTAGAAAAACAAGTTTTTAAAAATACCTATTCTAGTAGCAAATCACACAACTGCCAAGATGACTTTTTTTTAATGCTTTAATGTTTTTCAAATGAAAGTGTATTTCAATCATCAGGTCAGTGGCTCTTCAGTCTGATGGCTATGCCTTTATTCCATGTCCTTAATTGGTCTTTTCCAAGTTACTAAAATTACAAAAATAACCGCTAAAAATTTCTGTATCTGGCATATAAAAACAGGGCCAGAGGTATCTCAGTAGTTACCTTAAAACAAAACATCTCAGAAAAAACACATCACAAGTTTAACTTCTGCAGTATTTTTCTTCATACAAAACACTAGTAAAATAGGCTTCTTAAAAATTAAATAGTGAAATACCAACCGAATTATATACATTGTTACAGTACAAGTGAATGAGGCAAAATATCCAGTTCTGTTTCCCAGATGAGGGAGGCCTTCTGTGCACAGTGTGTGCTGGGTGAACTCCAAAGACACCTTTTCCTGATGCTGGTGCATACTGGAGCCGCATAGGACAAGCGGATGCAGAGTGGGCATCCAGGGAAGATGGGTGGCTCCCTCGTCAAAGGGCAGTGAGGGCAGCCACTTATTGCTTGCTGACTCCCGGTCCTCTGGTCCGATGCACCTGCTCCTCTCCACACACTGTGGGCACAGGGGGAACCAACCAGGAGAAAGCAAGAGGCTGGCTCAGAGGCTTCACCATCCAAGCAGAGTGGACGCTGGACCAATCAGGTGCTCTGATGGTCTGCTGACACAGGAGAAGCCCCCACTAGCACCTCTGCTGGATGGTCACATTCACCCAGGGCCCTGAGAACAGGCAGTGAGGGCTCGCGGCACTGGAGCATCGCTGTGGCCACCTGGGGCTGAGGTGTCTATGTTCGGCGCCTCTTGGCAGCACTGGGGCTGGAAGGATTGCTGTTGGCAGTCAGGACCTTGTCAGTGACCCGGCTGCGTTTCCGCTTGTCTGCCCCTTCTTTGCACCCCAAGTCTGAGGAGTTCCTCTCCTTGTCTTTGCTGGATTTTTCTAATGCTTTCCCCAAGCTCCCTGAAGATGAAAAAACTGAGAAACAAAATCATTTGGCTGAAAACAATATACAGAAACTCCTTCCGTTTTTCTGCTCAGCTAGAGGATCAGATGTACATCAGGCTCTTTGCCCCTAATGTCCCCTAGGGAGGAGGCCTGTACAGCTGGGCTACAAGAGAAACCTAGTCTCCCTAGGAGTCTCCTGAGCACACCCTGATGCTACCAGGTTTGGTCTTAGTCTCAACACTGGGCCCCTCCTGCCTAAGGGGATCCGCACTAAGTTCATCTTTGAGTGGATCCTCCATCCCTCAGATTCCACGGCTTCCTGATCTCACTCTGCCTGAGGCAGGTTTCAGGAGTGGAGATATGGGACTGTGCTCCAAAGGGCATTCCACACTTACCATCATCAGCCCCACTGTGGGGGTCCACATCCTCCTTCATCTCCTCCTTCATTTCCTCTTCAATGACCACTTTTCCTGTGGAGGAGACAGCTGCCGTTCACTGGAAACCCACGGTGGTGGCCAGCGCTGGCGGACGGTCTGGCCATGACTGCTTCCGATTCTCGCTGCCCACACAGGCCTCGGCGTCCATCACGAGATGGCATCCATCAGGAGACTGCCTTTGAGCACCGCTCTCCCCAGCCCTGGGCTCCCAAAACCTCCCAGGTGCCACTGGAGGTGGGGTCTGAGCAGGATCCTTCCACCTCCCTGGAGGCCCCAGACCTCCCCACCTTTGGCCTGGTCCGGCTTTTTTTATTCCCAGCCCTGATGGTGGCCGCGTCTCACCTTCTCGGACCTCCTGAATGATCTCATCGGGAAGGACAAAGTTCCTCTCTGGGTTTGGGAATGGAAGAATCTCAGACTCGTGCTGCCGGCACAAAGCATTTTGTATTTTCAAGAAACAGAAAATAGGATGTCAGCTCACTAAGATGCATGGGAGGAGCAGGCTGGAGCCTGAGGGCTGAGGGCTCCTTCCTTTGGTTTGCAGAGTCTACCTCAGCTGGGCTTTTCAAACGATTAGGGAGGACCAGGCTAGCATCAGCCCAAGGAAACCAGAGGACAGGATCAGGTTCATGCAGCCGAGAGGACCCGAAGACACGGCCGCCCTGCTGATATGCACACCAGGACCTGACCTGGCTCACCATGGTAACATCACACCAGGACAGTGTTCTCCAGGAGCACCGTGACCACAGGCGCCTCCAGCTCCACCCATCCTGGTACCTAGTTACACTGCCTGTCAGACACTATAGACAAATCTGACCAGCCCACTTACCAGTTACCCTGCATACCTGTCATATATTGCCAGCTCTCCAAATCAGTTACCCAGGTACCCATCAGACACAGCTACCTCTAAGCTCTATGAAGAGAACTGTGTCTGGCCCCCACAGAGATATCAAATTCACCTCTGTGGGACTCAGATACGGACACCCTCCTCCACCTAAAGCACTCTGGATCTCTTATTACTTTTCACTATGGCTGACGCTTCTCTCTGCATCTCAGCACCCACCTATCTCCCTGGAGACGTTTTGTGACCACCCCAAATCTAAAGCAGGTTCCCTGAAAAAGTGGTCAGAGACCGTTCCTAGTTAGTGCTTTTCACAGCACGACCTGAGCTTTCCCGAAGGAGGGGCCTCGGCTACTGAGGTCATCTCTCCCTGCATAGCAAACCCCCAAGTGAGCAGTGGGCTCTGTCCTGTACCACAGCGGATCCCAGGAAGACAGGAATGCGGGGCTTGTCTTCACCTTCAGCCCCCAAATGGGTGGGCCACGGTCCAACTCACCAGTGCCTGCATGTCGTACATAGTGCTCAGATGGTCCCAGATGACCTTGGAGGGCACCTGGCGCCCAATGTTCTGGCTGAACTTGTCTCGAATACAAATCATGTGGAAGTGCCGATTCACCCCTGCCGGGCAGGACAGTGGATTAAGGGACCGGGCGGCACCTCTGTGCAGAGAGCATGGATGTTGGAGGGGCAGGAATAGGACATGGCGCGCGGCAGGGGGGGGGGGGTTGCAAGAGTCAGGTGTCAAAGGGGATAGAAGTGTCACAAGGCAAGTGGGTGTTCCAAAGACAAGGTGTACAGAAGGCGGGTCCAGGTCAAGGGGAGTGCAGGGGCGAGGAGAATGGAGGCATTCCCTGGGGTAGGAGTGTCTCAAGGATAGGAGTGTCCCCAGGGCGAGGGCTTCTCGGGCAGGAAAGTCATGGGGTCTCGGATTAGCAGGGCACCCCGAAATGGGAGGTCCCATCCCGGGAGAGGTCGCAGGCTCCGCCCGCCCGCCCGCCGGTTAGCCCGCCCCACCCCCACGCGGGTGCGCGGCG